CTTGATGTAATCGATGCAAAAATAGCTGATTTCAGATAAACGAAAGAGACAATTCTTTTGGTATCTCTTATGATAATTAATTACATCGTTTTGCTCTTATTTCGTAATTTCGTTTACGAAAACAATGAAGCAACCATTATACAATCCCACTGTATTACTGGATATTATTATGTAATAATATTACTGTAATCTCTAAGGGCTTGATTTTACATATGAAATTTCCCTCCTTCAATTTTATCGTTTCTATAATATACCATTACCATTCTATAATAAAAAAAAAAAGAAATATGTGTGGCGACCGCCATGGGGGGCCATGCACTTAGGCCTGGCGACTCTTGGCCCTCGAGGCGAAGAATCGAGAGATGCTTTTCCAAACATCTCCGGGTTTCTTCGTCCTCGAGGACAAGAGTATTGCGCCTCCACTTCCTGGGACTTGCCCAGGGAAAAGGGGCTACTTAAGGGAGCCCCGAAAAAGGCACGAGGCCTTTTGTCGTAGACTCGCGTCGCCTACGCTTCAAAATTAGGTTAAGCGTTATCGGATTAAATATATTTTTATTAAACAACTTGCCCGAGTAATTACTTTACACCACGTCAGTTCCAAATATGTAACAATAACAATTCACAGTTAAAGGTGGTTAAATAAAAAATGGGAAGTTGAGAGGAAGAATATTGCCTTTTTTCTGCATTCGAAAATTATTCGTAGAAAATTATATTTCGATTCGAGGGATAAAAGATACTTTCGACTTTATTCGGTGTACATACTGTCCTCTGAAAGACCATAATCTCATGCACCACTGGGAGTACGTCTTAAAAAGTATTCATGCAAATTTACCACCATTTACAATTTTTCTTATACACTGTTTTAAAAAAGGAAACATTTATTTCTATTTAATTTTTTAAATTGTCATAGTCGTGAAAGAACTGGAGGTAGAAGTGTTGTATAGAAGATACGTTAGAAATGTTTCTCAATACTTTCAGAAAGTTTCGCCGCTTCAATTTAAGCCCATTTATGGAGTGTGGAGAGACAGAAACTTTGAAGTTTTGGAGAGAATATCATAATTTCACATAGGAACACAGAAACAACCTATTTTCCTCGAAACAATTATTCATCAAAGTTTCATCGACATCACTGACAATCTTTTCGATTTTAAAAATATTCTTCAAGACTTTCAGAAAATTGTATTGCTTCAATTTAAGCCCATTTATGGAGTGTAGAGAGACAGAAAGTTTGAAGTTTTGGAGAGAATATCATAATTTCACTCAGGAACACAGAAACAACCCATTTTCCTCAGAACTGTCCAGTTCCTTCAACATCGGTGATTATTACTTCAGAATATTGTCTCAATGCCACAATTCTCGTCCCAAACTCAGCCTCGCCTGGAGCGCAACAAAATTTCGAAATTAGCGACACCGAAAACTGTCAGGCCGCTGCGTCCATCGAGGACCCAGGACAGGCATCGGGACTCACGAGGTTTAATTACCTGGAAATGCATAAAATTGATTGAGTCATCGGAGCGTGGAACGATTATCGCGTTTATCGATAACCATGGTGGGCGCGCGCATTCCAGCGCGGAAATATGCAAATGAGACATGAAAGCCGGAGAGAAAAGCACGCGGACAGCCGGTCAGATGGGGAGAACCAGGCAATGGAAAGGATAGAAAGGGAGGGAAGGAAGGGACGATGGTCGAAGACTGATGACGTTTGGCATTAAAACGAGCGAGCCGCGCGGCCGTGCATCGACAGCCACTGCCGGACTCGTCTGGTAGCATTAATAAATGAGAGACATCAGCTTTTAATTACGCGCCTCGCTCGTAATTGTAACCCGCAGCGAAATCGTACGCTCACGGCCCCGCTACTTTACAAGCTTCACGGCGATATACGCAACTGACCATTGATAACAGCCACCGTTGCTGCTGCTTGTGCTGCTGGTGCCTGTCGCTGAACCGAGGGCCCGATTAACGATCGCTCGTAATTATGCCCAACCAACCAGCCAGCCTTACTCGCTTCTTCCTTTCTTCGATTACTCGAAAATCGTTCGCGATCCCCGATAGCGAGCATCGATGGCTTAACCTTCTGTAACGGGATTTTTCTTCTCCTTTTTCGCTTTTGCAACCTCGCGATTATGCGATATCGATGATATAATTAGGCGTTTGCGTGCTTGGTTCGTGGTGGGGAACTCGAGATGTCTTGCGAGTTCATTTTTGGAGGGAACTGGCGACGAATGATTTGGATTGTTGAAATTGGAATTGGAATTCCTTTGGGAGATTTTGTGAGGATTAGGATGTAAGTTTGACTTGGATTTGAGTGTGGAATTTTAGAGTTCAGGGTGTTGAGGACTTTAGAGTTTAGAGTTCAGGAGAATTGACCTCCAAAAGGAGTTAAAAAATTTACACAAAGATTCAAGCTTTAGTTTTTTTCATTAAATGATTCATATAGGACACTGATAAGTTAGTGTTTAAAGATTGCAGACAAACGAATTAGAATTTTAGTTAAAAATTAATTAGAGCTTCATAATATTTGAAATTAAACATTGCAATAGCTTGGACTTCATTGGATTAAAATTGTACAAATTAAACGTAAAATGAGGATTACGTGTAATTTTTCAATATTATAGACAGAATTTTTCACCGTCGAAATGACTCAACGTTTTTGTCAGATTTTTAGAGAACAAGGAAAATTGTTGCGTTAAACTCAAACAAATATTTAGGCACCGTCCAATTATACAGTCTTTTGTCAATTCGATTGCAAGAAAAGAATTCATCTTTCTCTTAAAGAACTTTTCAACACTCGAGCGATCGATTTGAAGAATGACACTAGAACTCCGACATTTCCTATTACACGACCTAATGCTACTCTCTGCGGAAATGTTACTCCTCGACGAATAAACCAACAATAAATAGTACTTCTTCTCGTTCGAATGGAAACATCGCGAAGTAATAAAGAAAAGTTCGTGCATTTCTTTCAGAGGTAATTCGATGTGCTTAAGACTGTCGATGCTCCATACGAAGAGATACAGATGAAATAACCTGCGCCGTGTGACTGCACGAATGTTCTTACAAATGTAAATAGCGTAATCATGGATATTCATCGATGTAATATAACAGTAAACGTGGCGGAAGTTGTAAGGATTATTAGGTTCACAAATCAGACGTCGATATACTTGCTCCACGCGAAATACCGTGTAATACGGCGCTATAATGTCACTTAATGAATGCCAATTAATTGAGAGCTCATTTTCACCGGGAGAAAAATCTCAGCTGTCGTTTGCTTACAATTGCTGAAACGGGAGATTTGATTATAACGATCCTTCGTAACTATTTCAATTGAACATCCTTGACACGGAGATATTGCACATTGACATTGTTGATTATCGTTATTCCGCCACAGAAATTATCTCTGCCTGAACAAAGTTGCGAATTGCTGATCGCTGTGGTTGCTTTGCGGGATATTTGCTGAAATATTAATGTGAAACTTCTCGAAACACTACATTCCTCAACATTACATTCCCCAATATTAAATTCCTCGACATTACATTCCTCAACTTTACATTCCTCGAGATTACATTCCCCAATATTAAATTCCTCGACATTACATTCCTCAACATTAAATTACTCAACACTACATTCCTCAATATTAGATTCCTCAACATTAAATTTCTAAACACCACACTCCTCAATGTTATATTCATCAACATTACATTCCTCAATATTACATTTCTGAATATTACATTCCTCAACATTGCATTCCTTACATTCCTTCTTTGAGAAATAGTGAAAAATAATATCAAATAAGATTTCAGTTATTATATTGACTAATTAAAAGACGGTGTGGAGGAAGTATTTGATTAAAAAGTTCTTCATTGAACATAGAAAATATCTGTAAACTGTGAGAACAGTTCAGAAAGAAAACGATCAGTTTTCTAAGGAAAGTATATTATTCGTTGGATCTGAAAGAAATGAATTTCTATTTCTGATGCATTGAATTTATATCTTTCATAGTAATGACTATTTCTGCGTTAGTCAGCACATATATTTTCACAGCCTTTGAACTCATGCGTAGTTATTCTTCGTCGATAAGAACAACCACGTGTTTGCCATGAAATTCATTTGTTATGACTTTTATACACGTTTGTTATGAATCGAGATATATACGTTCGTGGCAAATATACCAATTTCAATAAGCAATACCGCTTTGTGTTAAATAATTCTCTCAGAATAATCGATACCGTAATTCCAACATCGCTTCGCAATGGAGGAGATTTATAGTACAAACAATCGAATTATCATTTTATCAGAGTGAACGAAAGTTCGGGAGGAGAATAAATATGATCTTTCGTAACGTTCGGAAGAAAATGTTATCTCTAAGACGAAACAACACTTCTGTCAGTAACAAATTTGATTCCTCTCTGTTCAAAATAAAAAGTGTACACTTCTAAATCTTATAAAAATCACTTCTCACGTTGACACGTACCACAACTCAACCCGAGTAAATAAAACGAAAGCAATACACAATTGCTCCAATGGTAAAGTTGCAAAATTGTAGAAACTTAATTTTTCAGGGGAAATGAACGCTAATATGTCAATTACTGTATATAAGAAATAAACAAATCTCTTGAAGAATTACATTTTTGCAGTTTCACAGCCTAACCGTTGAAACAATTAAAACAACGAAATTACGAATCAGCTTGTCACACTCGGAAACAAGTAGAGACCAAAGAACAAACTCGCAGACAATTATTGATTGTACTTACCGTCGAAGATATCCGCCTACTTTTCTGTTTATTCCGATGCTGCGCCGATAAGACGAACTTGAGAAGTAAATGTGATTCGACGAATGTGTGATTTCATCGAATAGACAATAGATGTGCGTCGCAGTGATAAAACGCGACTGGTGGCAGGGGGCTACTGACCTTTGGATGAGGCGGAAAACAATTATGTAACTGACGAACAGTCCCTATAAATTGTCAGCTCGATCATTTTGCGAGAACAAACTGACCACGATGCTCGTGACCGTAACATTGTTTACTCTGCTCACACTGGCAGCGGGCCAAGCGGCCCACAAAGATCCACACTTCGTGCCTGGCCATGACGCTATGGTGCATCTGTTCGAATGGAAATGGAACGACATTGCGAACGAGTGTGAACACTTCCTTGGACCGAATGGATTTGGTGGTGTTCAGGTAGAAATTTGAATAATTTTATGTCGTTTGATGTTTGAACGAGAGTTTGTGCTCTTTGTGTCACTTGGATTAATATCTGAAGTATTTATTTAAAAAAAAAAAATTGTCGTAAATTATGTTCTGTGTGGTGTGTCAATTAATGGAGGCTACAGAAATTCTGTGTTTAATTTGGTTCTGGTTTTTTATTAACTGTGAGAAATGATTCGAAATTGATTTGTTTATTTGATGCGAGAGGAAAGAGGAATAAAAGATTTTTGGTATGTTAGTGCATATTTCAGAATGTGGCTGATTTTTGTGGAAAATAAAATTAGAAAAATAATAGAAATTCATAAAATTGAAGATTAGAATGGGCTTAGATAGTTCTGGTTCCTTTAAATTTCTATCAATTTTGCTAAAAAAAAAAGAAGTGAAAATAGTACTGTATCATTTCTTATGTTTGTATATATTTTCTGAAATACTTTCCTAGATGCTTATTGACAAAGAAAAGAATATGATTCGAAACGCACACGTAGGTACTTATTAAATCTACTCAACGAGATATTAATACCAATCAAGCTCCGATATCAATCTTCTCAATTGACGTTATCTTTAGCCACGTTATTACTATTAAATACTGCACTCCATTTGATTATTATCGATAGAGTGTTCGAGTAATTTCACATACTTGTAAATGTATTCGAGGGGAAATTACATGTATATACTTCTTATTTCTACGAGAACAGAAGGCACGAAAGAACTTGTGAATTAAGTGGTTACGATACAATAATATTTTTAACATACAGAGTCAAATCGAAAAATTGAAGCACTTTTAAATTATCAAGTCCAAAGTAATATAAATATTTTACCAATTTTAATTTCCATATCTCAATTTCAGAGGAATATAAATACCTTACCAATTTCAATTTCCTTACCTCAAATTCAAAGAAATATAATTTCAATTTTCATATCCTAATTGAAAAGCAATATAAATAATTTCACCAATTTTAATTTTTTTATTTCAATAAATTTCTCTCAAAAACGTTTTCTCAACCTCTCTTTCCTTCTTTCACATTGAAAACGATGAATCCATAGTAGCCATGACATTCACACTTTGCAACATACCTGTACAGGTGTCACCCATACAAGAGAACCTGGTGATCAGCAACAGGCCGTGGTGGGAACGTTATCAGCCAATTTCCTACATGTGGTACACGCGATCAGGCACACCGGAAGAGTTCACCAAAATGGTGGCAAGATGCAACAGAGCAGGCGTCCGAATATACGTCGATGCTATTTTGAATCACATGTCTGGCAACTGGCAGAATGCATACGGAGTCGCAAATTCCAAAGCGAACACGTACGCATTAGAATATTACGCAGTGCCTTACACTGCTAAAGATTTCCATTCCATATGTGCGGTAACAAACTATCAAGACCCCGTAAACGTACGAAATTGCGAGTTGACCGGTCTCCATGACTTGGACCAAAACAAGGAATACGTTAGACAGAAGATGGTAGATTTCCTGAACGGAGTGATCGATGCTGGTGTGGCTGGCTTCCGGTATGTGTTTTATACATTTTTGCTGCTATTATTTATTCATTGTTCTGATAAATTTTGAATGGTGAAAGACATTGTGATTTTTTAATTGGAATTTTGATGAGATAGCTGGTTCAAAATAAAAGGAATCATTTAAAGTACTCAAAATTTGATTAATTGTATTCTAAATTCACTTGGTAAATTTTGTTACTATTTAAATACATTGGAAACAGTGGTAACAAATAATACAGTAATTCAACTATCGCAACATGAATAATGGAATATTTTACCATATTCAAAATTTGATTAAATATTTTCCAAAAAATTTTAGACATTTTCGATTACTTGAGATTAGATATTTTCTGTCTTAGCACATTCTACCACTTTCTAAATAAATTAAAAATAATATTAACATACAACAGAGTCACAAAACTGCCAAAATATTAATAGTGCAGTATTACAAATATTTGACTGAAAAATTCTGTTAAACCTACCAATATTCTAATTAAATTAATTAGAATGAAAATTAGTAATGCATAACTATGCCCAAAAACTGTTGTGCAGAATTGACGCCGCTAAACACATGTGGCCAAGTGACCTGAACGTCATTTACTCAAGACTGAAGAACCTTAACATGGAACACGGTTTCCCCGCGAATGCTAGACCATACATATACCAAGAAGTGATCGATAATGGAAACGAACCGATTTCTAAGCGCGAGTACAATCAAATGGCCGCCGTGATCGAGTTCGGTTACGCCCGTGAAATTGGCAACTCTTTCCAAGGCCACAATCTTCTGAAATGGTTCGTTAACTGGGGAGAGAAATGGAATCTGTTGCCATCGGGTGATGCTCTCGTTTTCGTTGATAATCATGACACACAACGTGACGGTGCTTCAGTGCTCACCTACAAATCGTCCAAACTGTACAAGGTACAGTAGGCATAGTTTTACGGCTGATTATTTGGGCGTAGAATTCAGTAGTATAACTCAATCAGTGATCAGACATTAGCAAAATATTGAGATTTTTCTATGGCTATATAAAAATTTCTGTATAAATCAGAGATTTTTACTTTTAAATGTTTAAATATAAGAGTTTCTAGTAGTACGTGAACAGTAAAAAGATTTTAACACTACAGAGTGATAGTTAATATTTAAATATGAAGGACATTAAAGTTTCGAGAATAATTCATTTAAAAATAACACTTTGAAAATTAGATGGACATGAAAAGTAGTACACACATATTTTAGTTCTATCTGATTCATGTGTTCCAAAATTCCAATTTTATTTATTCCAAAATTCTAATTTTTTTAATGCCAAAAATTCCAATTTTATCTATTCCAAAATTCCAGTTTTATTTATAAAATCAATGTTATTACAGATGGCTGTCGCCTTCATGTTATCCCATCCATACGGTACACCAAGAGTGATGAGCTCGTACGATTTCCACAGTAGGGACCAAGGACCTCCACAGGACGGCCAACACAATATCAGGTCGCCTGTAATACTCTCAGACAATTCATGCGGCGGTGGTTGGATCTGTGAGCACCGTTGGAGACAAATCTACAACATGGTACGCTTCCGTAACACGGTTAAGGGTGCTGGCGTGAACAACTGGTGGGACAATGGAAGCAACCAGATCGCTTTCTGCCGAGGAAACCGTGGATATGTGGCGTTTAACGGCGACCAACAGGATCTGAAAGCAACCCTCAAGACTTGCTTGCCAGCTGGTCGGTACTGTGACGTGATTTCCGGTAGCTTGCAGAATAGAAGTTGCACTGGAAAGGTTGTCAACGTTCAACAGAACGGAAATGCTTACATCGAGATCACGAAGGGAGAAGATGATGGAGTCCTCGCTATTCATGTTGGGGTGAGTTTGTTTTAGAGGTGATTTAAAAAATATAATTCTAGACTGTTCACAATGAGAAAATTAATTCTGTCTAGATTATTGATTTGTACTACTTAAATTAATTATACTGAATGCAGTTCTCGTTTAATATTGCCTCTTTAAACACTGATGAAATATTGAAACCAGTTCTTTAAACACTGATGAAAAATTTTTGGTTTAATTATAAGTCGATATTTTAATTATCGAATTATTACGAATGTGACAATAATAATGGAAATTTAAAAAATATTTTTCGTTCGCAGGCTAAACTGTGATGAAAACGGTCGACGAATATGGAACACAAACACAAGGATGACAATGAGAAAGTAACCAGAACACAATGTGCAAATGCTCATCTTGTAATGGAAACAACTTAATTTGTCGAATAAACAATTTTCATATTTAAAAAAAAAATTGACTTTATCCTGTACCCTGATACACCTGTAAAAAAAAAATACTTACCAGACTTATGATTAAAACAAAATCTTACAGAAATCTAAGTGACTTGGGTCTGTAACGAAAGAAGCTTCACTGGTACAAGTATTTTTCAACAAGGTTTATTTTAACAGAAACAATGTACTGTTCTTGTTCTCTTTTCACCATTAATTTCTACTATACATAATATGACAGTTAATCAGTAGAATAATACACGACAGACTCGCGAAACGGAGAAATAAAAAAGGGTTGGTGTCGAAGGGGAATTATGAAAGGGGGTGGATAGGATGACGGTTGGATGCAGAAAAAAAAGTCGCAGAAGGAAACGAAGGATGGACAAAAATGGGTGGACAAAAAAAAAAAAATCATCGAAGTATCACAAGATTGCCTTATCGCCTGCTACTATTTTTTCCCCCCTTATTCTTCTCCAGCTCGTTCTCGCTCTCTTTGTGTTCACAATATCCTCGTTCTTTTCACTTTAGATAAAATCCCCCACGCGAATTTTCCCCTCTTTTCTTTCTTTTCTTACTCTTCTCTGTTTCCTTCTTTCCTCTTTTGCACACGTACACACGCATTCTGTTAGCTCTCTGTTATCATCTTCCGTTCGTACACGAACGATCCTGCTGATCGACAATTTAATGATCTCGTGCTACGCGGTAATGATGTGCGTGAACCTCTGCTACGAAACTAAATAAAATACTACGGGTCCTTTTGTAAAAGCACGATATAAATAAATGCTCAAGCATTATGTACAATGATCTCGGTTTAAGTAAAAGCCGCTAGCTCGGTTAATGTCCGCCCGTTTCTTCCAACTTCCTGTGATTAATTTTTTGTTAATTTTCAGTGCGAATAAAAACTGTTATTAACCCTTTCCTTGCTGGAGGTGAGTATAGTCGATCAACGTTGAACGCTTGCTGCGTGCTAAAGGTGATTATAGTGATCCAATGTTGAACGATCGCGGTATACTAATCACTATAGTCACCCAACGTTGAACGCTCAGTGGACACTAAAGTCACCCAACGTTCAACGCTCAGTGGATACTAAAATCACCCAACGTTAAACGCTCAGTGGATACTAAAGTCACCCAACGTTGAACGCTCGCGGTATACTAATCACTATAGTCACCCAACGTTGAACGCTAAGTGGATACTAAAGTCACCCAATGTTGAACGCTCGCAATGTACTAAAGGTCACTATAGTCACCCAAAATTGAACGCTCGCGGTATACTAATCACTATAGTCACCCAACGTTGAACGCTCAGTGGACACTAAAGTCACCCAACGTTAAACGCTCAGTGGATACTAAAGTCACCCAACGTTGAACGCTCGCGATATACTAAAGATCACTATAGTCACCCAAAATTGAACGCTCGCGGTATACTAATCACTATAGTCACCCAACGTTGAACGCTAAGTGGACACTAATCACTATAGTCACCCAACGTTGAACGCTCGCGGTATACTAATCACTATAGTCACCCAACGTTGAACGCTCGCGGTATACTAATCACTATAGTCACTCAACGTTGAACGCTCAGTGGATACTAAAGTCACCCAACGTTGAACGCTCGCAGTGTAGTAAAGATGACTATAATCACCCAATGTTGAGCACTCGCTCTATCCTACCGGTGACTATATTAACCCATAAAAATTTCGAGTACAGCATAGCCTGATATCTCCAGGATAACTGATTTACTTCTGTCGAATTTTTTTTTATTGTCTTAAGAACTGTGAAAATAGCGAAAAAAATAATGGTGACTAGCACCGTCGTAACGTTAAGGAGCCCCCAGACTTAAATTTTTCTTAGAGAAAAGTTTTAAAAAATTGTCTTAGAATAATAAGCGAAATAAAATTGTCCAATTAAATAAAAACTTCTAAATTCGTGTACTCGTGAAATTAGACGAAATATTGTAAATATTGTCAAAATAAGAAATAAACAAAGTGAAAATTAAGGAAATGTCGGTTTTTTTTTTTTTTTCAAAGAAAATACGGAAGCGGAAGTACAGGCAGATGTGCGCGCGAGAACGCGCGTGTAAATGTATGTATACATAATATTTATAAACGTATGTGTAGTCTGCAGTAAATTCAGGCTAATGTAAATCTAAAAATACTGTTCGTCTTACGAACTTATCAACTCTCGTTCTAACAACTCGTTTCTGCGACCTCGCGCCCAGAACCTCTCTTATTTTCATTTTACGACTAAACTGTTATTACAATGAATACAATAAGGCAACGGGTTTACTCCTAAATAAATAAAACGTTAAACGTTGTAAATAAGGGAAGAAGAATTAATTAATTTACAGTTTCTCTATGCTATATTTACGGGTCCGTCGCTCTCGTAAATTTATATCGTTCTCTATGTATATGTATATCTCCGACTTCTAAATTTCTGTTTCAACGTGTACGTATGTATGTGTGTGTCGTCTGTGTGTATGTTTCACGTGTACTTTTATACGTATATGAATGTATTCACGCCGTGGATCCTATCCGTGTGTTTGCACGTAGAACGTTAGCAAAAATATAATTTAGTATATTTTATCATTATAATTCATTCATATAAAAACTTCGTTAAAATATATAAAAGAAACAACGATTTGAGCAAATACGTATATCATCCTATCGTAAAGTTAAAAGTGCCGCGTCGAAAAAACGTTCCTTCGTCATTATTGCACATTAACTTTTCGCTAATAAAGTTGTTGTCCCTTTTTTTCTTCTCTCTCTCTCTTACTTTCTCTCCCTCACCAGAAACTTACCGCAAGCAATCCTTTTTCAACGTTCATTCGTCTTTTACACATTCTCACCAGTAACAAGCACTCGCAATTTTTACTTTATACATACTACAGTATAATACACTTACGTACGTACTGTTTCTTCTTCTTCTTCTTCTTCTTTTTCTTTCTTTCTTATCTCGTCAATGGTTTCACCTCCTCGTTCGATAATAAAGAATAGTATCGTCGCTCGGCACTTTATCGGTACACCTCTGTCGCTCTTAAGTTTATGAAATTATTCGAATTCAATTGTAGATCGTTCAAGCGATCGTTATTTTGAAAAACTGAAAATATGTGATTTGTTAAAAATCGAAATTAAAAATAATTCCTATTCGTTCGCCTCTTGGTCCGACTTGATTGCACATTGCGGAGCAAAGTAAAATTAAAATATTGATTAGCTAAGCAATCATTGTCGAACGAAATTAAAATGTGTGATCTATTAAAAATCAAAATTAGAAATCATTTGTATTCGTTCTCTTCGCGGTTTCGTTTCATTGCACATTTACGATGAAAATAAAAACGTGTCACAATGTGACAAATCTGATAACAAACTGTACTAATATTAATTTATTTATTTCGCTTTTATGAGCTCGAATTCGAATAATTTTCACACAGTACTTGCTACAATAACGAACTGTTCTCGACGAAAAAACTCCGATCTCAGGTAATAAGGAGCAGTATGATCGGTTAACAGTATGAATTTTTTCTTTACCCAATCACGGTATTTTATAATCACAACAATCGTCTCGTTTTATCGTTGAATCTAATGAAAGGCCAGCCTTTTTGGAAGACTTTTTTTTTAAACATAGGCACTCGTTTCGGTGATCTTAAAGTATCTCCCCTAATCGATTCATCTTTTCTAATAACTACTCTCTCTCTCTCTCTTTCTGAACGTTAATTCCCACTTATCCCCGTGAAATCAATATTTCGCAGAAATTCAAGGCTATTAGCTCCGCGTGAAACCGATGTTACACTCTAACACGCTAATTGCTCACGAAGTATCAAACGCGCGCTTCCGCTTGGCAATTCTTCAACCGGAGGATGTGATTTGAATAAGAACGGAAACGAGCCGCTCTAATCGCTAATTCCTATCCCAATTAATTTGATTATCACGCAGCGTCAGCTACTTCGCGCTCATCGCGTGTCTATTCCTAATTTATACGAGAACGTTAACATTTGTTAGCCACCCTCCACTTCCTGCTCGGCCAAGAGAACCTGCAGGCCTGACCGGCGGTGCAAATTTCACAAGAACACGAACAAAAAATTACTCGCTACGTTAACAACATCGCCAATTAAACCTGCACACCGCCGATCGGCCACTGTGAAATCAAATCTAAATCGGGCTGTCCAGCCGTTTACTTCCGGCACAGTCGTCGTTTCGAACGACGACGAGAGCTTGAAAATCAGCTCACAATCAACCGTCGACTGTCGCCGATTCTCGGAACTCTTGGTGGAAAAGTGTGGACGAGAAATTAGTGGACAATGATTCGTTAGAGAAACACTTATCAACAGAGCAATGTGAAAAGAAGAATCCTCGACACTAGAACAACCGGCCAAAATGATCAAAATGACCCATCGGCGATTTTCTAACGTGAATTTTTATGCAACTAAAACGCGATTGAAAAATTATATATATATACATATATGCAACAAATAAAGTCAGAAAGTTATAAGCGATAATTCTTATCAGTATGGAACATTCACTTTTTTCGGGAAGTTGATAATGGGTCATTTTTGACCCAGTCGCTAATTCCAGTGTTGAATAGAATTTTAGAAAATAGGACACCGAAGGTAGTAATTTAAGTTCACAAAAAGAAGTTAGCACAGTGTTTGCAAAATTTCCCGTCCACACCTCAAGCTTCAGCTCGGACTAACTACAAAATGAATCAAGTTCTCTGGGTATCCAATATCAATTTTCC